CAGCTGTATATAGCCAAAAAAGCGAAATAACGTGCCTATGGTTACTTGGGTAGCCTGTATGATCTGAAAAAGACCACATGTAGTTGTGCTTACATTTAACTGATGCAAGATGCACTCAAAAATTTAGATTAATGCATCGAGAATTACTTGATCCATTGTAGCCTGGTATGACATTAAACTTAATTTCTTAGATATCCAAAGGGCACCTACACATGTCATTCTAACAGGGTGATAAGCGAATTTCCATTTTAAAATTTCCGATTTTTTCCCCGGTATTTCTGGTAAATAATTCAAAAGTTTTCCGGTTTTACAAATAGTGTTTTTAGAAAAAAAAAAATAAAAAAATATAATAAGTTTTCAACTTGAGTTTTATGTTTTTGACATTACTAAGTGTGCTATGAAAAAGGACTCTACAAGCAATAATGTTGTTTTTTAGTTTCCTGCATTTTTTAAATAATTAAAGTTCTGTACATTTTAGCAAACACTTTTGTTACATAGTTGGAGATGTTTGGAGATGACAGTATAGAGTTGATAGTTCCGAAAGACACGTCATCTCCGTTCCGGAAATACCCATATTGTAGCGTATTTGATAGTTTTTTCAAAAACCAATGGCCACCATCTTGGATTTCAAAATCGCAGTGGACATCTAATTTTGATATCTGCATGTCGTCCCCGTCCCGAAAATACCCATATTGTTGGGTATTTGACAGTTTTTCTAAAACCATTGGCCGCCGTCTTGAATTTCAAAATGGCGTCCAACATAAATTTATGACCTCTACACGACGTCCCCGATCCAAGGGGGGGCTACGTTGTTCTAGCTCTGAAAATACCCATAGTGGTGGATTCCAAAATGGCATCTACACGACCCCATGTTCCGGAAAGACTCACATTACACAGCTACATCCTATATGGGCAGGCTTTCGAGAGAGGAAGTTCACAAAACATTAGTGCCTCGTAGTGAGAGAATTCGGTACTAATATGAAAACCATCTGGAAGACCGTGGTCATCTGAACAACTTTGCTGAAGACAGTAACCTTCTATATGGCCACGATCTCGAGATACAGAATATACAGGAAGTTCATATGCACACTAGCGCCATGTAGTGTGAAAGCTCAGAACTAATATGACCACCATCCGAAAGGACTTGATCACCTGCACAACTTTGCTCAAGACAGCAACTTTCTACATGGATCAAGAGATATTCTATTTGGACCCAAATTCCATATAATATAGCACCTGTCATAAGAAATATGAAAATGAAGCGCTTCTAGTGGCGTACTTCCCAATCAAACCTGAATGACACAGGCTTGTTGGTTAACAATTTCATAAGGCTCGACTTATGAACGATACATATTTTTTTTCCTTGATTTGTTTTCCGTTTATGTTTTGAGCGTTGGTGCACAGGTAGATTGAGGTTAAGGATACGCCACTGGTTATGCCCTTCAGAACATCCAGGCGGCACCAACTGGAATTGATCCCAGGTCTGCTGGGGTGAGAGGTAATCACGCGTACCACTACACTACCGGCGCCGCTGAATGAACAACACATATGACACATAAGCGTGACTTATGAATGATTTTCGTCTAACCAAAGCACTTATACGCCTTTAACAATTTCATTTAACCAACGACCAACGACGAGTGCACGGGTCCCATAATCTCAACGACCATGTTTGGGTTCCAGTCTGCTCCGTTTTATTATTTTTTGAGAAAATATTTTTCATAAGGTAGGGGAAATGTTGGCTTCGGCAATACCTTAACCTATTATCGCCAGGGGGTAAACAAAGTCCTAAGGCTTGTACTCGAAAAAAATGCACCATTTTTATCCTTGTGTAACTTTTTTATCCCTGGGTAAAAATTGATGAAAATCTGGGTATAACTAGTTTGAAGTGAATTGTTTACATGTGCAAAATTTCATAACAATCGGTTCAGTGGTTATTGAGATGTCATCGAAACAAGACGAAAATCGCCGGAGAATTTTGCGCGCCGTCATGTAAAATCCGACTGCGACCATGAGATGGATCGGAAGACAACTGGGAAACACCCATACAACTGTGTCTCGGGTGGTAAAATCGTTTAAGGAGTCCCAGACGACCGAGTGGCGAGCTGGAAGTGGAAGACAATCGAAGACAGCTGCCCCTGTGAAGGCCCGAAAGGTGTTGGATTATTTCAAGCGTAATCCGAACCTTTCGATTCGCGACGCGGCTCTGAAGGCAAAGTGTTCCGCCTGGTTCATTCAGCAAACCATGAAATGAGCTGGGCTTCGTGTATTCAAGGTCCGGAAGGCACCGAACCGGCGTGATCAACAAAACACGGCGGTCAAATCCCGCACAAGGAAGCTGCATCGAGAGTGGTTAACGAAACCGATGTGTGTGGTTATGGATGACGAAACCTACATCAAGGCAGACGCAAAGCAGATACCTGGAGTTCTACGTTGCCAAGTCACGATTTGATGTTCCGGAAGACATAAGGAAGAAGAAAGTGGACAAATTCAAATACTTGCTCTGGCAGGCCATATGCCAATGCGGTAAACTGAGTAAACCGTACATCACAATGGGTACCATCAACAGCGAAATTTACCGCACCGAGTGCCTCCAGAAGCGTCTGCCCTTCCTGCGATCCTACGGAAGCAAGACATTATTTTGGCCGGACCTGGCATCATGCCATTACGCGCGATCAACGTTGGATTGGTACAGAGACAATAACATTGTTTTTGTACCGAAAACCGCCAACCCCCCAAATTCACCAGAGATTCGTCCGGTGGAAAGATTTTGGGCCATAATGAAGGCCAAAGTTTGAAAATCTTCCAAGGTGTTTAAGAACGAGCTGGAGTTGAAGAAAGAATGGATGAAAGTGACCAAAAAGGTCGGCTCCACCATTGCACAAAATGTAATGAGGGGTCTTAAGGGAAAGGTGCGGACTTTCAGCGATGGAAAGGAAATTGAATAAAGTAATTATGCCGAAACATAATCCATATATATTAGTTCATTCCCTGAAAGTTTCAAGAAAATCCGACTTAAAATAAATTTTTGGCGAACACTTTTGTCTGGTGCATTTTTTTCGAGTACAGGCCTTAGAGCAGTAAAATTTGGCCAATAGATGCTCTCAAACACAATGTATCCACATACCAAAATTGAGCTCTCAAGGACGTTGTTTACCCCCTGACGATAATAGGTTAAGGTATTGCCGAAGCCAACATTTCCCCTAAATCAATGAAATTCATTCCGACTTCTTATGGAGTTCTTACGTTCTTTTGCCTCAGTACAGGACAACAACTTTGTCGCAGAAACAAATCAAATAATCGACCACAGCCCCTATTAGTGAAAACCCAACTAGGTGTTTCTTAAAACTAATTCCTTGTCTGACAGAAATACATTAGCTTCATAAATCTTTACAACGTTTTGCACAGGTCCATATTTGGGGGTTATGAATCGAACACCAAGGTAGCCTTGATGATTGCACATACTTTTTTCAACATGAAGTACCCTACTGCACACTTGTTAAAAGTTGAATCAACTTCCAGTATGAAGACTTTCAGGTATTTAGTCGAATTCAAATGACGTCAGCCTACCGTTATCGGTTATCGGAAGAATTCTGCTGAACGAGCGAGGTCACCCATTCTGATAAAAAGTGACCATTCAAAATTTCGCCATTCACCTGGCGCGTGGGCTCGGCACAAAAGGCGTGTACCTTAGCCACCACAAAATTTTATCCTTGATGGCTAGCTGGAGAAATGATGAAGAAAAAAAAAACACCCAACGCCATCCGTTTCTAACCTCTTTCCTCCCTCGATATAAGCAACGAACGCAATAGCCGAGCGGGCAGCAAAAAACCTGTCCCGTTGTCAAGGCCACCTGGGATCCTACAGTCGTCGTCGTCGTCGTCGTCGCAGGGAAAAACTGAATGAAAATCCCGTCATCGTAGTGTGCCTGGGCGTTAGGGGGGTTTCACAGCTCGAACTTATGTACTATTAAGGTCTCAGTTACCTATGTACATATCGGCACCTGAATAGCAATTTACTATTTGCACTGTGCGGTAGCAGGGATGAAATTTAGCTGGATCTAGGCTACACTTCGGCGTCCGCCTCCACATTATCGTTGATTGTTAGAAAAAGGGTGCCGTCGTTGTTGGGTGGTGCGAGTTTTCCCCATACTTTTCCTCCGATACGGTAGATACCTACGTGAGGATGGGTATGGGAAAGTGAAAAACAGCTAGAGAATAAACAAGCGTTGGACGGAAAGGAATGGCATGAGCGAAAAAAAAAAAAAAACTACGCGCGTCTACAATACTTCGTTCAGGGCGTGTAGGTTGGTTTGATAAAACTGAATGAAATCATGCCTGTGGGCGCGAGACACGGGATCGGCAGGTTAGGTGGGCAAGGAGGGCATGTTTGGTTTCACTTGGGGCAGGATGGGAATTGGAATACACGGAATAGGACGAGGTGGGTTGGGTGTAAAGAAGGGGTGCGGTAATCGACTGTAAATATATAAACAATGCGCAGGCGCGCTTTATAGCTGCTGGATTGAGTTTTTACAGCGCTCGGGATGTAGCTATAGACAGAGATGCTGTGAACAACCTGTGCGACACACGACATGTGTAGGTATGCGCTATATGTACTAATACTGAGGAATCTGAACGCTGGACAAATTTTATAATGAAACTGACAGTTGAGATCATGGGAGGCGATGTGTATAGGAATGGAAATCTCATTGATACAATTCTGTTTAGTGTGCGGGAAAGTGTGTTGGTGTTGTGTTTCCCCAGCACCCACACTAGCACAGTAGGCTATGAATAATAATTATTTTCTACACAGAGCAAAGCACAGCAAATGATATTTCCTTTTAAATCAATTAATGATGAATGGTGATGACTAAGATCTGGATCACATCAATAAGGAAATTGCTTTAAATGGATACAGCTGGTGGGATGGGGTGATGTTAGTTGGGCGAAATGAACAGAATCTGGGTGATAGTAAAGAGTTAAACAGTTGTATATATTAACCTTCAAGACACACTACACGGCAGCCATCTTGCTTAAGTTTTCTGTGCAACACGTTGATGGTAGTGTCATTCGTCGTCTGATTATTGTACCCAGGATCATTGATCACCACATCGTTGCTATTGTTGTACAACACGAAGGTACTCTCCTTGTAGCAGGACAGTATCCTTTCTTTCAAATCTCGGCACTTAATCGTTGAGGTGATGTCGATTTTGCCAGCGGCAAACCGTCGGAGCATGATGCTTGGAATGCTGAAGTTTACCGCCGTACGGATGTGGCTCTCGGTGAACTCATTCGAACTGCGGCAGTCGAGGATGATAAAATTTTTGTGCGATTTTCGCAGCTCACTGTGCAACTGCTCGCTTGTTATTATTTCGATATCGTGGTCAGGCATCTCGGACACTGAGCCTACTACACGAACAACACCAGAAAAAAAAACAATCACTGTGTAATCGACACACTGCACTACCGCCTACTGCGATACTGTAAATCAGATGCTTTCACGGTCACCAACGGATTCACTTCATGACAACTAGAAAAACTTTCCTCACTTCCTACGGTCACTTGGATTGCGGCGTCTTCAAACACTGTTTTCGACACACCTAAACGCAGTACATTGCACAACTCAATTTGTTATTGTTTTCGCAAAATAACACCACTTTCTAGTCCGCACACTATCTATTTATTATTGTGCATTTACTGTGTTCGATGAGTTTCAAACAATGTGTGATACTGGTAGATTAGCAGAGAAGCAATCTTGTATACAGTGGAGGCACGGAACACTGCGAACGTACAGAAGACGACGACCGAGGAGCGAACGATATCAGAACGAGACCACACCACCGTAACGTTTGAAGCCACTCGGCCAAGTAAAGGGTCCGTGGGTTCTTTCTGAACGAAATTCGAATGAAATAATGAATTAAAATCGTGTGTTGATGTGTTGGGCAAACCCACACATGTTCCATAGAAACTTGAACAAGAAGTGTGCGTTCCCAAATACAGGCAAGGAACGAACGGCGTTTTGCGTAAGTGTTGGCTCGTGATAATGTATAAGTCTTCAATGAATTTTGACAACACCGAGGGAACAGACAGCTTTGCATAATCGCAACTTCAAAACATCAGGGATTGAAAATCGATGGCCGAATGGTTACGAACAAATTTGTTATCGGAACAATAATTAGATTGATTTGTCTGTTTTTGTAGAAAATCCGCTGTCCTAGTAACGAAAAGAATCTTCAAGAAAAGCTCCTGACATTGTCCTATTTTTTTGTGCTAACGAACCTATTCATCGATGATTGCGTAAACGAGAACGCAGTTATAGAGGTGGGTTCCAGTGCTGTTGGGCCCCGTTCGCATCTTCTGTAACACGCGCAGCATGCTCTTGCTGTGATGAGATGAGAAGAAAAGAAAATAGCCTCCCCCTCGATTTCATCATAACGCACACCTTTTCACACAACTCGGATACGGATTCTGGAAAAACTGTGCTAAACTTTACAAAAAACACATCACTCTTTACTTCGTTTCACAACTTGAGGACACTTGAGATTTCAATGCAGGTTACTAAACTATATAGGAAACCGGAAAATTATAATAACACCCAGCAGCCTATTATGCTAAATTGTACAAAACATCACACTCTCCGGGTTCTCACAGAGTTCTGCTTCTGCTGCTACAGAAGTTCGGCTGCTTGGGGATTTTTCGCTGTGTTGGTGCGAGGAGGCAGATATGCAACCAGTATGACACATGCGCACCAAACGCCTGCTTTTCCTCCTGCTCATGCATGGGAGCAACATTCCTTCACTCCCATTGCATCGTATCACAGCAACCCGTTCGCAGGGAATAATGCTGGTGCACCAACATAGCCTACTCTACTGCAGCCTGCATGTATGCAACAGATTCAAGCGATTCAGTTCCTCGTGCTGCATTCGCGAGGGTATTGGTGGTTCGCACATATGGTTCAAATATTGAAGGACAAATCGCACTATGTACGAACCAAAATTGGGCATCTGCCTGCCTGCCTGCCTGCCAGTGGTGGTCAAGGGAGGAATGCACTATTTTAGTGCCGTGTGGCGCTGAAGGTATGTATGTATACAATGCGAATTCAGGACAGATTGACAGTCTCTCTATCGTGGAGTGCATGTGCAGCAGAGGATACGGTGACCTTCGGTTGCAGAAGTTTGCAATGCTGGTTGCGCTGGAACCTGATGCCGAAGGTTGTGCACACCTCTTCGATTTTTTTTTCGGGATGCAAGGATTCATCATGACGAAGATGAAGATAGGATGATGCCAGAGGGTTAACGGAGAAGGCAGTTGGCAGCAACGTGGGCTTCGACAATTGTTATTGATTAATCCAATGGGTTCGGTAAAGATGTCAGCTAAGGAAGTGGAACATATTACCGAAAACATCTTCGAACAAATATTAGCAAGACAACAACAAACAGATATGTTACAGACACGTGATTCATGGACAATCGTTCTTAAATGGATTATGTAACGGAACTCGAGGGGACTAGAGGTAATATGGGTGGAGCTGAAAACCTATCCACTAGCATTCCTTCGGCACTAGTCTCCTACCAGGTTTTCTCAACTGTTATCTTATAAGAGTAAAACAAAGGTTATCATTTTCCTTTTAATTCCACTTAGCAATTTGTATTCATGACAGATACGTATTTCGACTACAATGTGCAGTCTTCATCAGTGTCATTCCCACTTTCAGTGTTACCTTATAGATTGAGCTGATTTATTTCTTTTATTTTTGCATTTAAAGGGTTGACACTCAAGCATGCAATCTGGGCCGCTGGAAATGAAACAGTTAGTTTAACCTAAAGGTTTTGCATAAATGCAATGTTATGTTTATAAAGACATTGCAGTTTAAATGTTGTTTACCATGGATCTGTATGGTCATGCAATGGATGATCATGCAAGTGGCTACAGAAAAGGTGTCTAAATCGATTGCAAAACCAATAATGCATCACTGTTTGTTGGTCACCTCTCCAAGTGCTCCTTTTTGGAGTAAGGTTTATCATATGTCGAACATCCTTTACTTCTATAGGGTAGACAAAAAAAAATTAATTGATTCGACACGCGAAAAGCAGTCAATGTGAATGCATTATTTCCGTTTGCAACTATAAAATTGCAATTTTATTTTACATTCAATTAACAAATGAAGCGCCCTAAATCCAGCCCACGGAAAGTTTAAAGATCTTCAAGAGAATATTCATACATTTCAGGAAAATGTTGAAACTGCATCGAAGATCTAGAGTAGTTTTTAGTTCTGCGGAAAACTTCAGAGTTGTTCTGAGGAGACCTCCAGAGTAGTTCTAAAGAAAAATTAGATCTGTGGAGAGTTTCAGAGTAGTTCTGAGGAGTTGGAGGCGAACCAGCCTCAGGCTGAAAGCCTCCTAAATGAAGATAAATCAATCAATCAATTAGTTCAGAGTAGTTCTAAAGAGAATTTCCGAGAACTCAAGAGAAGTTCCATCGGCCTCAGGAAAAAATCAAGAAATTTATGAAACTCTCCGGGGCACCGGGAGCATGTCTGGGTGTTCTGAGTATTTAATATGTCCACCAATGTTCTTATTTTTGAATTATCATGTAGTTGGATGTGTCACAGGAGGATGTAGGTTCAAGTTTCACTTCTCCCCGGTATCCGGAACATGTCCGGATCTGGTCAACGTGGTATTGAGTACTTAATATGGCCACCAATGATCTTATTTATGCGTCGCATGAGGGTGTTGGTTCAAGAATAATCCGACCAGTTCCCCGACAGTACCCGGATTGACGACAAATAAATAAATAAACATGTTAGGATCTGGCTAACTTGGTCTTCAGTACATAATATGGACACTAGACCTGTTCATTTTAAACGAAATGTTCGGAATGTAACGGGTCAACCGTGATTACTGTTCGTCATGTTAATTTGTACTTCTGTGCAAATTTTCAGCAAAATCGGTGATGATTTAGAGGTGCTTCAAGTTAATTTTATGTTTTTAAGGTAATTTACGGCTTACAATATTTGTATCTCGAGACTGAAACAACGAAAGCTGCTGTAACAACTTTCATAGCAAAGTTTAATGTGTTATGTATCAACTTTGTAACCAAAGGTTGACTATTCGAAGTGATTTTATTGAAGTTTGACTTAGTTTCATGCTCGAAGATATCTTAAAATGTGTAGAATTTTAAAGTATTTGTTCTACGAATTTTCCACCCGTATGATATAAAAATTTGTAGCGTACGGCATAATGTTCCTCATATTGTTCTAGAAGTTTCGTTCCAACATAGTTTTCGTGTATATTTCATAGATTGAGAGATAAAAATCAGAAAAGAGGCCGTTTTAGCTAAAATTCACAAGACAACAGAACCAATAAAAGTCAATTAGATTGACAGAACATAGTTGCATTGCTTTTCAATGACGACCGATGACTGTTTCATTGATATATGATTTTTTCATAAATATGAATACTCAGTAGACGTGTTTTTTTATCAAAGGCAAGTGTCACTCGAGCCATTCAAATGTTCGTTATTTTATAAATTGCTGTTATGGTTCGAGTGACACTTGCCTTTGATAAAAAACACGTCTACTGAGGATTCATATTTATGAAAAAATCATATATCAATGAAACAGTCATCGGTCGTCATTGAAAAGCAATGCAACTATGTTCTGTCAATCTAATTGACTTTTATTGGTTCTGTTGTCTTGTGAATTTTAGCTAAAACGGCCTCTTTTCTGATTTTTATCTCTCAATCTATGAAATATACACGAAAACTATGTTGGAACGAAACTTCTAGAACAATATGAGGAACATTATGCCGTACACTACACATTTTTATATCATATGGGTGGAAAATTCGTAGAACAAATACTTTAAAATTCTTCACTTTTTAAGATATCTTCGAGCATGAAACTAAGTCAAACTTCAATAAAATCACTTCGAATAGTCAACCTTTGGTTACAAAGTTGATACATGACACATTAAACTTTGCTATGAAAGTTGTTACAGCAGTTTTCGTTATTTCAGTCTCGAGATACAAATATTGTAGCCGTAAATTACCTTAAAAACATAAAATTAACTTGAAGCACCTCTAAATCATCATCGATTTTGCTGAAAATTTACACAGAAGTACAAATTAACATGACGAACAGTAATCACGGTTGACCCGTTACATTCCGAACATTTCGTTTAAAATGAACAGGTCTAATGGACACCAATGATAATATTTTTGAATTCTCATGTAATTTGATGTGTCGCATCATAACCACTTTTTTGAGGGTACTCGGAACATGCCCGGATGCGGCCAACGTGGTCCTGAGTACTTAATATGGTCACCAATGATCTTATGCTTGAATTCTGATGTAGTTTGTTGTGTCGCATGAGGATGTTGGTTCAAGAAGAATATGACCACTTCCCCGGGGGTACCCGGAACATGTCCGGATGGGGCCAAAATGGTTCTGAACAGGGCTCTACATTTTCGAAGCTCTAAAATTTGTTTTCTTTGGTTTGTTTTTTCCGTCGATCTTGTTTTCCGTGCTGAGCTACCGACGTGCCAGGAAGGCAGCTCCCCTACCTATCGACCCATCAACTCATGAACCGGGGACCAACGGCTTTACTTCCCATCCGAAGGAAGGCGTGATCAGAGATGTTATGCCTCAGAACATCCCGGCGACGCCGACTGGGATTGAACCCAGGCCTGCTGGGGTGAGAGGTAATCACGCTTACCACTAAACCACCGGCGCCGTTTTAAGCTCTAAAATGAACTCGAGTTTTGTTTCTCTCATACAAACGTGTTCAACGCTTCATTTCCATAACGCCTAGCTAGACTATCAGCAAGAAATAATAATGAAAAAGAAGCACGCTTAGAAGGAAACGCTGGCTGTGGATCTTCTCGTCGTTGCTTTG